AGACATAGAGACAGAAAGCGAGAAATCACCCCCCAGGGGGGATAGTCACGCCGCAATCCCTTCTCCTCCATTCTCCTCTCGGGATCTTGGGCACGCACGCACACGCGCCAGGCGTGAGTTTTAAGCCACCGGGTCCGGGACACGAACCGCGGTCGACTACGTGGGAGTCCAGCGACATAGCCATTACGCTAACTGCTGGTTCCCCCCAAGTCATTCTTCATGGCATCTGACTTACGAAATAAAAGAATCAATCACGGTTTATTTACCCTATTTACTTTTATGGACATGCCATTTTTCCCAAGCATAATGATCTCCTTAATTAATTCACTTAATCCAAGACTTAAATTGTAAGAGGTGATAATGGAGGGAAGGGATTTGAGCTTTACTTTTAAAAATAATTTTAAGAAGTATGGAATAAAAATATTCATAAACACAAATTATACCATTACAAGGAGAGTGGCTGATACTTATTAATGAGTTTTTCACTTTTTTTCAAACAAGACTGAAATCATCCTTTGACTCACATGCAAATCTCAACTCAGGTCATTTCTGAACAACCTAATCAAAACCATTTTTTAACTTTTATTTGTTTGTGGTAAGCATGTAGTATTAATCACACAATATTTGTTGAGCTCCTTTGATGTGACAAAAACTACCCCATCTTATAAATCTCAAACATCCTTCTGCTTCTTTGAATCCACAGTTTTAATTTGGACTCTGTGAAGTAGAACTGAAAGTCAAGTAAGTACAACAAAGGAGTTTACCAGAGATTACTTTTAGAAGCCAAATGCTATTATTTCAACAGACTCCCATAATGTGCATCTTAAGCTAGGCTATAGGTATTCTTGGCAACTACATGAAACAATTTAAAAGCTTCTCTAAGCACAAAACAGAAAGATAGTATAATGTTGTAGAAAATAAGGACTGTTTTGTAAAGAAAAAAACACAAAAGATTAATTTAATAATTTTCAGAGACAGAATTTCAAACCTCAGTGGTTTTGCAGAAACAGCTTACAACGCAAGCCAGATTCTCTGAGAACTTTACAGATGCAGACAATTGTGGTTGGAAGCTGCACTAACTACTTCAGACCACTAGGGTAACCTTAGTAAATGACTGTTTCAATGTTCCAGTATCATTTGGTTTTCTCAAACAGTTAATTATCCCATCTCTGAAATTCCCAAGCTGTTTCTGAATAGTTGTAGCCTTTAGAAACCCAGCAGGATTCTTTGTCCTCTAGCTCTTTCTACTCCGGCTGATTCCATGCTTAAATAAATGCCCTAAAACCAAGCATCAACATTTGCCAAGCATTTTGAAAACGAAATGCTGCCTAATACAGCCCTTTGGGTGCCTGACTTAATTCTCTTTGACTATCTCGATGAAGTGGGAAAGTTAGCACTTAGTTGTGCCAATTGTGCCAAATATTCGCTCACATATGAGAAAAAAAATTTAAATGCTAATGAATTAATTCATAGTTGAAATGATGAGAATCTTTAAAATGAGCAATACAAACATGTACTAAGTTTTTCTGGGCCTGATTTATTATCCACATACATATTGATCATCACTTACTCAAACCTCATTATTCCGAAGGGTAAAAAATGTAAAAATGTTTTGTGGCATATAAATCGTCCTTTGCTAAATTAGCTCATATTTTTGTGTTTCGTTCCAATGAGGAAGACCTCCCTGTTCGCCTAGTGTGCCCCACATGAAAGCACTTGTATCATTTGGGGGACTAGGTTTCTTAAAACAGAAGATGGGCAGGTGGTATCTCCCTCACAAGAGAATAAGCTCAGCCTTTCTCCCTTCTGTTACTAGTAACCTTTTAACCAAGTGACTTGGAAAATGTTTGAAAATTGGTTGTATAAATATTTAGGAAAAGTTAATAGCATCTCATAAATATTTTTCCACTTAGAAATGAACACTAAAAAAGCAGAGGAGAGATTTTGTACCCACAGCCCCTTGGTCATGGATATAAATAAAATTCCGTATTTAAGCAGATGCGCTACTATCTTGATATACTATTTCTGTCAGATTCTGGCAATGGTTCTGATTCGAACAGCAATTACTGGTAAAAAATTTCGCCTCAACTATTTAGAAAAGTGGCTTTATTGAATTTACAAACAAGGCCCTACAATTTTCTATTTCCTTAGCAAGATATTAAATCAACCAAGCTAAGCATGTCATCATGGCTATAATTTACGTGATGTGACATGACAGTTAAGATGTACTGTGGTAATTTCTGAGAGCTTGCAGTATTATTGTAGTATCAAAAATTTATATGGTTCAGTTATTAAGGCAAATTGTTTCATTCATACTGAGATGTCTGACAGTAAACCACCATGGGCTTCCACATTACATTTAAACATATCTTCCACATTCAAACAATTTGCACAACCTGTTACCATTATTTTGTTCACTGAACGGAAACTGGAGCGCAGGCGAGCACAGCTTTTCGATGTGAAAAGGAGCTGCAGGAGAATATGAAGTGCTTCATTGTGGGTGGTTTAAAGAAACAATTCAGTTAGATAAGGAAAGTTATCTTTGGGAACTCACAGCTATGAACAGGATGTCCAAATTCTTTTCTCTGGTGCTATTTAATATCCCATTTGCTTGCTTTCCTTCTGTCAGTTTGATTTTCAGCCAACACACACAAAAAGCATATGACCAAAGAAGAAATGATGGAAAATATGGTAAAGAATATTTCTATTATAAGTTATCTTTAAATAAATGTTACCGCAGTATGAACAGAATAAGCCTGCTGAAACTCATCCACATTTGATCCAAGGCTCGTCTTATAGTGACTCATAAAAAAAAAAAAAAAATCGACTTTCTTTTCATTGTTGTTGGCAATTTTAAGCAATAGAATTTCAAGTCTTACGTGCTATTTTATTCTTGTTAGGAATACAGGAGGTTCCTAAATAGAATAGGATAAAATGACTTCTTGTCATAAAAGGCCTTGCAAATAAAAGTTTAATTAGATTTTTATTATAGCTATTGAATTTTATGCAACATATGCTGTCTCTTTTAAAATACATGTTCATCGACAATGTGTTTTATTTATTTACACATTTTTTGTAATGGCATTTGGAAGCCTGTTTAAAATAAGAAACTGGCCATGAGTTAAAATTTTTCAATCAGCTATAATCACCAGTTCCCATTCATTGAATAACATATGAGCTATTAAGTTTTTCTATTTTAATACTCACATGCCATGAAAAAGACATACTAACCATAAATATACTCTTATTTGTTTAATCATAAAGATTTCTTCAAAAATAACATCATATTATTATAAGTAAAGACTAGGCTTGAATAGAATAAGTTCGCTAAGGGTTTTTTTTTTTGGATTCTAGATGATAAAGTAATTTAACTATCAGGTGATAAGGTATTACCTTTCAGTATTCACATGTAGGATTAAAATACCAAATTGTGTTACAAATTATTAGGTAAGATCAAACTCTGAACATCAAAGTACCTATCTAGATAGAGTTAACTCATGAGAGAAAAAAAATACCTTCATTTCTGAAGCTGCTACATTTGTTTATCTGTGTATGTTTTTATACACATGTGAGTGGGCTTTTAAACAAACATGTGCTTTCAATCTGGCACTTTTAGGGTAGTTTTCTGAGCTCCAGGAAATATGTTGTATTCATAAGTCTCACAGCAATCACTGAATTAGGTACGCGATAAATATATTTTCCAATTGGCATTTATACCAGTGAGAAGAAATAGTAGATATCTTGAATATCAGTTTGAAATGAAATAGAATAGAAACAGATGAGGAAAGATTCAATGTCCTTCCACAGACAACTCTCAAAAGTTATCTTCATGTAAACACAATACAGTATCTTCTAATGTTTACAATTTGTTTTATGAAAATATTCAACTTAGTCATTCATTCGGAAAGTTTACAGGGAATTGCCAGCTATATAAAGTTGTCTATTGGGGTGCCATGGTCCATTAACGTCTTGTATACGTACTTTGCTCATGAGACCTGGGAGAAATGCTGGACTCCAACTCTGCTGGTCTGACAAGTCAGTACGGTCTTTATCTAGTTTAATCTTTCCTTAAAGAAATACTACATGAAATGTCATTTCATGATCATTCAATAAAACAGATTAGCAAGAAGCGAGAGCCACAGGGACTTACTTTGTTTCCCAGGTACGGAGCAGGTGCGCTCCAGTAGTAGTTGCTAGGCAGGGTTCTCCGGGTCTCAGAGTTGCTAATGCTGATCTGCTGGGGTGGATCTAAGCCGTCCTCCTGAGGAGCCACTCGAAAGCGGCCGGAGATGTCCGTCAGATACCAGCCACGCATGTCTTGAATCTTAGAAGAGACAGACAATCATTATTATGTAGAAAAAGTAAATCCATCAGCTTTTCTCTTTCACATTTGTTGTAGTGTTCATTTCTGAAAATTATAAAAACAAAAATTATCAACACTTAGAAAAATAATGAGACTTGTGAATATCATTAAACTTATATGTACTTATTTAGAGGCTCTGAGTGTGTTTTTTTTTTCTTCCTTTTTTTGATGTTTCTACCAATTTCCATGGTACTATGTAACAATTTGTTTTGTTTGTTTTTAGTTTGCTATAGGGTGCATGTGCTCACTGGAAAAAGAGAGTGAGAGAAAGAGAAAGTAAGAAATCACCCTGTAGGATACATACATGGCCATGTCATGATCCCTTCTCCATTCTCCGACATGGCCATGTCATGATCCCTTCTCCTCCATTCTCCTCTCAGGATATTGGGCACACACATAAACATACTTGGTATGATTTGCATGCTGCCAGGTCTGGGACTCAAACAGCTCAGTCGGCCATGTGGGATCCAGTCACCTTAACCTCCACCCAACTCCTGGCCCCTATAATCTGTTTTTATTAATCATTTTCTAAATACCACTTTTTTAAAAATAAAAATCCATTCAAGGTTACAAAATGGTTATAACAGTATATAATTTATTAAATAGTTGGACTTTGAATATCATATTTTCAATACACTATTAATTACTTATTGCTTTTGGAAAATATTTCAAAAAGTGATAAATACATATTTTTAAAGCAGAAAGAAAAATCAAATGTGAAAGAAATGTGGCTTTTCATTCAGCATTTCCTCTCTCACTTTTTAAATTTTCTACTTTGAGGCTTAAGGACATGTGAATCCACCAGTCTGTTGCTATGACAACACTTCACAATACTGTATATATTCCTTCCCATAGGGTCAGGGGTGCTATGGGAAACCATAGACAGACATTCAGGCCAGAAAAGGAAGAAACCTTAAGGGAGGAATAAGGGAATGCATAATGACTATCCTTTACATATTTATACTCCAGCCAAGGTTGGACTTAAAGCTCTGCTTCCAATTTAAACCATCCTACCCAGTGAAGACAAAACATGTTACTGAGGCTTTATGCTGCCAGCCACCAGAGTCCTACTAGACATGGTTGAGTGGTTTGGTGTTGCCAGTGGTGGAGACCAGAATGGTAATGGTGACAGTATATTTAAATTTCTTCAGGTAGACGTTACTTAATTCCTTTGTCTCAATTCTTTGAAATTACTGGGACTCCCTTGGTCCAAAACAGAAATAGCGATCAGGTAAAAATGTGTGGCTAGCTAGACATTAAATACTGTTATTTCTTCTTCCCTTTACAGCATCACTTAAGCATTCTGAGACAGTCAAGTGGAATTCTGTTGATGTAGCTTACGATGACCAGTGCTTGGATACTTACTCTGCCCCTTTGTATTGATCTATCTGATCTAAGTGATCTATCAGTGGAGCAGTCTGGAGGGTGCGGTTGGACCCTACAAACTAAATGAGGAAGTGAGACTTGATGCGTGTTTGTCGTTGACTTCCTGATGCCTGCTCTGAAAGCAATACCTGCTCTGAAAGCAATTTGAAAGGACACAAAGGTTCAAATTCGGACATGAGAGCACCATCAGAAACTACCTATCACCTTTCAGGCTAGATCTAAAAAAGAATAGAGGCAGAGAGAAATATTTGATAGTTTTGTTCAAGATTAAGTTGTTGATTAAACTGAAAAGGAAGAAGTGTTGGGAAATCGTTTATTGGAATAGCGGTCTGTGCAAAACACAATTCTGATCATGTCACTTGTCTGCTTAAAAATCTTTCAATGGCTCCCCAAGTAGAATATCTCAATTTCTCAGCACACTCAATCATGTAAGTTCTAGTTTCTCATTCCCTCTAGGTTTTTTTTTTTTTTTTTTTTTTTTTTTTTTTTTTTTGCTAGCCTGCTTCCTACCACTCCACTCAAGTGGACTCAAGTCCGTCCACAAAGGCTTATCTGACATTCCCAAAGGTCCCTTTCCTTTCACCTCTCTTCTGCAGGGAGACAAAACACTCTCTGCATAGAGATGAAAAGGCATTGGGGACGTGTGGTTGGCAGCTAAGATAAAAAGGTATATCAACCTCAAAGAAAGAAAATTCTAGCTACTACTAAATAGTTTAATAACAAAAACATAACATTTTTAACCCAGCTGATAATGAAGGTATTATCAAAATCCTGTGTCCTTATTTTCTTTGCTATTGGGAGCATGTATTCACCAGAGACACAGAGAGAGAGACAGAGGGAAGAAAAGTGAGAAAGTGAAAGAGTCACCCCCAGGGAGGATGGTCATGCTGCAATCCCTCCTCCTCTGGTTTCCTCCTGGGATTTTGGGCACATGCATAAGCACACATGCCTAGTGTGATTTTCAAGCTGCTGGGCTTGGACTCGAATTTCTTAATCAGCCATGTGGGATCCAACTGCCTTAACCTCCATGTCACTTGCTGGCCCCACTATGTTCCCTTTTAACAATGAAAAAGCCCAAGCATCATCAAATAATAACCTAATGTTATTAGGTAATATGCATTATATGTATGTGGATGATACAGAGTTTTTCTTAAGTTGTATATAAAGATACTTATGGAGGTCAGCAGGTGGTATGGTGGTTAAGGACGCTGGACTCCCACATGGCCGATCGTGGTTCGAGTCCCAGACCTGGCGGCTTGCTTTCTCTCTCTCTCACTCTCTCTCTTTCTCTCTTTCACTCTTCCTCTCCTTCTGTCACTCTCTGGTCAAATTAAAATAAATAAAGATAAATAAAATAATTCTTTTTAAAAGAAGGCATTTGTGAATAAAAAGTGAACTCCTTCATAGCACCTCATGTTTTTCTCTATTAAATCATGTGCCCTTGATGTTGACACAATGTTAATTCCATTATTGTTTCACATAATAATCACAGACATTGAAAGAGTTAATGTCTTCTTATTCTTAGAGGTTCCAGTCCATCCGATGTTACAAATAAAAACAAAAGTTTTGAGTAAAGATACACAAAGAGCCCTCTGAATAAATTACATCACTTCTTCAATGATAACTTTAAGAAGAAGGGCAATATAAGAAAAACTGGTTTTTAATTTTTTTTCCCAAATGAACAATAGCAACAAAGCAGGCCCACAGAGTAGCATACAGAATTAAACGGCATTGCTTACATTGCCATAGGTCCAGTAGGAACTCTGACATCTGTTTGAAACTCCTGAACAGAAACATTCATCGCATCCTTTCCAATTTTCCTCTTGCAAATTGAAGAAGCCAGATTTGCAACGGCTGCAGTCTCCCCCTTCAACATTCTCCTGTAAATAGAAAAGATGATTAGTAACAAAGGGAGATGCTCTTCACAATTAAAGGTTGTGTCAATGTCTATATAAGGTAAATATTAAGTGAACACTCATCAATTCACCTTCTCGACCATGTTTAACGATAATGATAATTTCAAAAAACTGCTCGAGAGCTCCTTATTAAGCTATGTCCTTTCTAACCGGATTAATGGGAAACATAATATGCCAAACTAATGTATCATTTTGATCTCCATGTAGGTAAGAGTGTGGGATATATGTCATGATAAACATGGAAATAGACCAGACTGAATGAAATGAGGCCAATTTGGTTCATCATTCTGTGTTACTGAGCTACTTCATCTCAAAGTGCATAATATATCAAATATAATAAAAGTGAAAGTATAACAGAATATTGATATTATACCAGTTGTAAAATATTTTTCCCATTGCAGATTAAAAATACATGTAAGGGGAACCAGCAGTTAGCGTAATGGCTATGTCGCTGGACTCCCACGTAGTCGACCGCGGTTCGTGTCCCGGACCCGGTGGCTTAAAACTCATGCCGGGCACGTGTGCGTGCGTGCCCAAGATCCCAAGAGGAGAATGGAAGAGAAGGGATTGCGGCGTGACCATCCTCCCTGGGGGGTGATTTCTCGCTTTCTGTCTCTATGTCTCTCTCTGTCTGTCTGGGGAGCGCACGCGCCCTACAGTGAAAATCTCTCCAAAAAAAAAAAAATAAATACATGTAAGGAGTCTTCCAAAAGTTCCTGGGAAACATGTGTTATGAAAAAACTATGCATGGATTTCCAGTTTTTTTTTTTTTTTTTTGCACCAAAACAAATGAATACATAAATTCTATTGTTCTACAAACTTTTTAAAGTCCCCTTATACATCTGAGGCAAGCATACAAACTTAATGATTAGGGGTCAGTAGGTGGTGTGGTGGTCATAGTACTGGACTCCTATATGACCAATGGCAGTTTGAGTCTCCAACCTGGACACTTGAAAACCATGCTGGGCACATGTGTGTGGTTTCCTAAAATCCCGAGAGGAGAATGGAGTAGAATGGATTGTGGCATGGCCATCCTCCCTGGGGAGTGATTTCTCACTTTCTCTTTCTCTGTTTCTGGCGGGTGCTTGTACCCTACAGCATAAACCTAAACAAACGAACAAAAATTCTTAACAGGTAAAGAAATTTAGGCAAATAGTTATAGTATGTCCCTGACTAGACTAAATAGAAAAAGAGGAAAGTTTCCCCAGATTGATTCTCCAGTGTTTGTTTTAACACTTCGTTACAGCTAATGAACCATATTATGAGAAAAATTAATTCTTGTTCAATGACTATTCTCTAGTCTAACACTAGTCTCAGGATGGTGAAGAATTATTTGTTTAGAGGTGAGCCTATAATGTGACCTCAAGTCAGTGAAAGCTGACTATATAACGAAAGATGGGGTAGAGTGTCATCTTTTAATTTAAAGAGTGGTTAATCTTGACAAATATTTCTAAATGAAGGTGTCTTTATTCTCAGGAAACAGATTTTCAATATTGCCAAACACGCTTTTATTTCATATTTACCTTCTTCCTTGAATTCCCTTACTACCTCAATTCTGAAGTTTCCTTTTTTCTTAGAGAACTAACTTCTCTCTCTACTACATTCTCATAGCTCTTTATAAACTGCCTGCTTATAATCACAAAAAAAGCAAAGTTAATTCTTTTATGATTGCTTTCTCCTGCTATATACTATGACCTGTTCAGAGGTAAAACTCAGTCTTTTTTTTTATAGTCCCAGGAAATAACAAGGTTTCTGTACCACAGTGAATATTAGCTTCATAAAATTTTATTAAGTTTAAATGAATCTCTTGGTAGTTGTGTTTTTTATGCATATCAAAGTGCTTAATAAAAATATTTTTGCATAAACCAAGATTGAGCAAAAGATAGGGATAATCAAATCTGAGAACATATATGGAAAAGTAAAAGGGGAGAGAAAAATAGCAAGTAAACATAAAGAGAAATTGGTTAGAATAAACAAAGAGGTTTTCATCATCCCCAAGAGAACAATTTTTTGCAATTACCTTTTTGATTCTTCATTTGTATGATTCATATAAGACCTTAACTGGCTCTGCATTGGCGGGAGCCTTAATAAGGGGCTATTTCTAGTCCCATTCATGTGTTAAAATTTAGCATCTTGATATGCACAGAAATCGAAGAATGTCCACTGATATTCTTGCCAGTTTTTATTTTTAAGATGGATTTCAGGTATTTGAAGATGACAGATGTTACCAAACCTAATCAAATTAAATTCAGACCTCTAGTGACAAAATCTGAAAGCACTAAAGTCGAGAGTATCTTCAAAAGAGTACACAGGCAGGAAAGATAAAACATCTCTGTAATTGTGATTTAGCTGATCCTGTTGAGAACACAGTGTATCTGTTCTGTACACTGTGTTCTTCAGGGCTTGGTCTAATTTACTGTTCATTTACTCTAATTTGAAAGCTTATAATACCACTTTTCTGAAATTCAGACGAAGTTCAATAATTCAACATTTTTAGACATTAATTATATTTTTCCTTAGGTACATTTTAGCCTGATAATTTGACCTTGAAAATTATGATGGAATACTTGAATGTTCAATTTAATTTAATAACCAGAAGCAACACATTAGGGTAGGAATTGTAGAGACTATAAAGATGGGCAAGTCAAAATCTCTATCTCTAAAATCCAACATCTTGTTGAATAAAAAGATAGACTCACAATCAACTATGATGCAAGGTGGAAGATGGCAAGTGATCTCAGAAATCAGTTAAATGATAGGAACATAGGGGAGGAAGCATGAATTCCTATTGTGAAGGTTTGAGGTGGCTTTATACCAAGAGTAGAATTTGACCTAAAGCTTGAAACATGGTTTAAATGTAAATTTAGCAGAGATAGAAATGATAGATTCATGTTAGCGAAGTTCTTGGGGACAAAAAATAATTTAAAAAGTGAAAGGGTCATTCATTATTTATTCTTTCAAAAAACAAATGTACTGAATACTGAATACTCCCTGTATTCTAAGACTCTCACTTGGTACTTGTGATCCAGGGTCTCTATCATCAGATAATAAATATTTAAGGCTATTCTAAGAGATATGGACTTATTCCTTTAGGAATTGGTAAGTCATTAAAGATTGCTCAGCCCAAGGTAAACCAACAGAGCTGTACTTGAGAAACTATGTTTACAGTAGCAGGTAAAATGTCCATGAAATAAGAGATACTGAAACCAAGAAGTCGTCCATCACTATACGGTATAGCCAAGGGTTAACTCAAAAGATTTGGGATGTTCAAACTGCACATTACAACAAGTGTTATAGGGAGACAATCTATCAACCCTTGGAATAGGCTGCTCTGTAAGTGTCTTTGTATACCTGGGGCTTAGGGTCACACAGCTATTCTATGCTGACATTGTGATTTATGATGAATGCCTGATTTTATTCCATTGGCAGTCTAGAGCCACGCTCTATCAGTTTCATCCCTGGCAGTACTGGAGACAGTGGTTAAGGTCACTCATATGTGTATTACCCATCTATGTGACTGATCCCCAGTAAAAATCCTGGGCACCAAGATCTGAGTGAGTTTCCCTGGTTAGCAATGCCCTCTCCATGCTGTCATACATTGATGCTGGGAGAAGTAAACACCATATAAAATTCCTCTGGGAGAGGATAACTGGAAATCTGTGCTTGGTCTCTCCTGGTCTCTTCCCTGTGCATCTTTTGTCTTCGCTAAGTGTAATATGTAACCTTTCATGGAATAAACCATAACATGAATTTAACAGCTTTTTTGAGTTCTGTGAGTCCTTCTAGTGAATCATCGAAAGTGAGAGCAGTCTTAGAGCCCATCGATAGATCATACTAATGATGATCAAATATCTATACCTATAAAAATGTGCTACATAAATGGTGGTGTTCCCTTGATTATTGCGACAAGTATTATGTCAAAGTATTTTAGACCCTATTCCAAGTCCTAAAGCTAATCCTTCACTCTTCCCCCATTCCCAATTCACTTCAACCATCTTCACAAATGATTATTATTTCTTACAGTGTTTACCTAGGCCTTATATAAGATCGCACAGCATGTATGCCTAGTGACAAAACTTAAAGCTTCTAGACTCCCTCATTTTATTCCTGAATTTATACTACCCTTTCTTTTAGAAAGTGATATTTCTTCTTTTTTAAAAAATAGAATTTATTCACTCATTCATTTTAACTTTAAGAGAGAGAGAGAGAGACAGAGAGAGAAAGCGAGAAAGCAAACCACCAGGTTTGGGACTAGAACCATGATCAGCCATGTGGGAGTGTCCAGCGCCTTAACCACCACACCACCTGCTGATCCCAGAAAGTGATATTTCTTCTTAAATTACATTAAATTTGGTTTGAGGTTATCTCTGCAACCTGAGGTTCTAGGTAAGAAACTGCAAGGTAACTTAGTAAGTAAACCAATCAAAATCTAACTTAGGAATATAGTTGTAACAACTGGATCTCAGCAATCACAAGGAACTGAACTTCAACCAGCGATAGACTTCCAGCTTGCCAGATCATGACCAAACAGGGCAAACACCTAGCTGTAACCAGGTACTTTACTTCCATTTTGCTGTTGCTATTGTTTAAATATATCCATTGCTCACGTTAGGAAGTAGAGTTCTCTGAACCTCTTCTGGTTTAGAGTGATGCCTGACTCAGTTTTGTGTTCAAATAAAATAAGTTTAATTTATAATACAAAAAAGTATTCTGGCCCTGTTGTCTCATGGTTAAAGGGAGCTGGATTTCATATGACTACCTGCAGTTTGAATCCTGGCCTTGGCAGCTTGAAAAACACACTAAGCTTTCCTCTCTCCCTCTGTCTCTCTCTGGTGAGAGCACGGACCTTCCAGCAAAGATAAGAATAAAAAATAAAACTATGGGACCAGTAGATGGTGTAAAGGTTATGTTGCAGGACTCTCATATAGTCAACCACAGTTGGAGTTTCAGACCTGGTGACTTGA